ATAGTACACACTGTTGTATGTTGTAATTTGCTGTAATGTAATTTGATGCCCTCCAGTCTTTACACTGTCGATTTCCCACCAACAATGACACCACTTCCTGGAGAATAATGTCATTTAGGAAATGGCTTTTGTTGTCAACAGTAAAACAGTATTCCCAGGAAAACATGCTTTGTTTGAAACATTTCGGTTTTGAGAAAGGAAAAAATGAAGCAATACATGCAACTTTTCTTAATACATTTCCAGTTTTTCATATAATTGAAGCACCTGGATATGATAAAATATGACGACATCCACTCAAACCAAAGTAGTGAACTGGTATAAAATCCCATCTATGTTTACTCAATTGTGTTATTGTGATAAAATAAAATTAGTATGACTTCCATATTTAAAAATTGTGTGGACTTTGACGATAAATAGCGGCTCACAGCAGCAGTGTTTCATTCTGCACTCTTTGTATTTGCTCTGTTTTTTGTTGTTTTTCTCGCTGTTGTTTGCCAATTTCTTCTACTGTATCTTTACAACCCCCTCAACCACTACCCTCTCTCTCTCTCTGTTTCTCTGAAATCCCCCTCCTTTGCTCGCGTCCCTGTGCGCCGGCAGGTCAGTGGCATGCTAACACTTTTGTCAGTGTGATTAATAGCATGCTGGATTGTCGTTAATTCACTGGCTAATGACTAAGAGCGGGGCCGGTCCAGGAGTAATCGGGTGATGTATAGGTGGGGAGTGCTCTCCGAGCCAGAGGTGAAAATCATTTCCCCCAACTCAGATACCGTCGCAAGCACAACCAATGGCTTTTCCTCTTAATAAAAATGAATGCTTTTCTCTCTTTCTCTCTTCTGTAATTCCCAGTGAGTAACTACATGAGGCTGCATAATACAGCCAAACTCAGACGTTACTTCTTGGTTGGACAGACACAGAAATGAAAATATAGAAAGCACGTTCTTCAGGTTCATGCTGGTTTTTTTTTTTTTTTTTCTGGGGCATTGTGACATAAGCTTGCTCTGATCTGACTTTGTGAGCTTGTGTTCAAAGGTGAAAACAATTGTGCATCTGCTAAAATAATAATGGTCACACTTTATTTTAAGGTCCAATTTTCACTGTTAACAAATCATTATCTACGACTTTTGCCTCAATAAACTCCTAATTTGCTGCTTATGAATAGTTGGTGAGATAGATGTTTAGTTTAGGTATTGAGCAAGATTAGGGATGCAGAATATGGTCATGCAGAATATAAGTGCTAATAAACAGCCAATATGTTAATAATAAGCATGCTAATAAGCAACTAGTTAATACTGAGGATTGGTCCCTATACCACACACACACACACACACACACACACACACACACACACACACACAGTATATATATATATATACTGATATATACTACACACATACTAAAACAATATACAAAACGTATGGGGTCAAATACAGTTACACATTAATATTGTGAAATATTATTTTAGTTTTTAAAATAACAGTTTTTTGTTTAAAAATATGTTATTTTTATGATGAATTTGACTCCAGTTCAGTGTCATACAATGCTTCAGAAATTATTCTAATATGCTGATTTTCTTCAGGATTTTTAAAATAATAATTAAAAAAAAAAATTTAATAAATGGAAAGCTCAAAATGATAACATTTATTAGAAATAGATTTTTTTCTAACACTGTAAAAGTCTTTACTGTCACTTTTTGATTAATTTAAAGCATTACTGAGTATTATTTTCTTTCTTTCTTTCTTTCTTTCTTTCTTTCTTTCTTTCTTTCTTTCTTTCTTTCTTTCTTTCTTTCTTTCTAAATAAATAAATAAATATCTTTCTTTCTTTCTTTCTTTCTTTCTTTCTTTCTTTCTTTCTTTCTTTCTTTCTTTCTTTCTTTCTTTCTTTCTTTCTTTCTTTCTTTCTTTCTTTCTTTCTTTCTTTCTTTCTTTCTTTCTTTCTTTCTTTCTTTCTTTCTTTCTTTCTAAATAAATAATATTAATTCTTTCATTTACCGAAATATCTGAAATATATTACTGAGCCCAAAGATATTTTAATATTTCAATATCTGAAATATATTACTGAGCCCAAAGATATTTTAATATTTCTTACTAATATATATATATATATATATATATATATATATATATATATACATTTTCCCAACATACTCATGTACAGTATAGGCTGATATTCTGCATACAACATACAGCTTTGTTATGATGATGATATAGCTGTTGATTCACAATCTAAATGGCATAGACATAAATCGTTCTGTAATTTAATTTTCATCATAAATGATATTTAAGTAGATATTGCTTATCCAACTCTTTGCAAATGATCTTGCTTTGCTTACAGGAGCGTGTTTAGTGGAATCTCCCCACTGAAATAAAACTGCTTTGATGGCAAACTGGCATATATCCTTGTGTTTAAAATGAAACATGTTATTATTTATTGCTATCAGGGATTTAAAATTAATGCTTATGGTGGCGTTGGTCATGTGTACTGTCTATAATATAGAGGAGCGAGAGAATCAGCAGCAGTGTTTGTGGAGTAGATGGAGCATATGCTGTTCTGTCATTATCCAGACGTCTGAGACCTTCTGGCACTTATTAGCAAACCTGAGCCTTTTCCCGCATCCTCTCTCTCTCTCTATTTGCCTCTTTCTTGCCCCCCATGGGTGATGTTTGCAACTCAATTTGGCAAATGTAAGTTAGTATTGATTATTATTAATATTTATCATGTTTGTGAAAATGTCTTTTCCCTGGTGCTATTAATCTGTCGTGTTAATAAATGTCTGCTCTAGGCCTCGCGCTGCTCCCCGGGGAGCACAGCAGACTAGAATGGCAATCAGGAGAGGCTGACAGGAACGACACACACACACACACACACACACACGTTCAGCCAGATTCCCACAGGCCCTAATATGATTTTGGTAACTGATTAGGCTTTGTAAAACCAGGTGTGGGGATTTAAGCCTTCTAATTATGTGCATCAATTAAATGCTAAAGGTGTAAGAAATCTTTGTGCATGGTAGCATGCTGAATATTATTGTACAACCCCTTGGTTTTGGTTCATAACTCTCTGGTTTTATGTTTTACAGCAAAGCTTTTTTTTCCACTTTAAACGTAACTGAACACTTTAAAAACACTGCAAGTGAAAAAAGTATGATTAAAACCATTCAAATCCAAATATATACCCTTATGTTATCAATAATGAGATGCACATTATATCAGTTTGTTTATTTATTCCTTCTTTCTTTCTTTCTTTCTTTCTTTCTTTCGTTTATTTATTCCTTCTTTCTTTCTTTCTTTCTTTCTTTCTTTCTTTCTTTCTTTCTTTCTTTCTTTCTTTCTTTCTTTCTGGCACATATATTATTGTGGTTGATAACTTGCAAACCTATTGGGGTACTATATTTTAGCAGAATAAATAAATTGAATGGCCTAATAAAATGCTTAATAAAATATATATATAAAAAAATCTGAATAAAAAATGAGTAATGCAATCAGTGTCCTTAATATTTTATTATACAACAACTGTTTATATTATATTATATTATATTATATTATATTATATTATATTATATTATATTATATAAACTAATAAAACAATAATAAAATATGATAGTGCTATATAATAATAATGTATTAATATTATAACATCTTAAAAAAAAGATTTAGCAGAATAAATAAATTGAATGGCCTAATAAAATGCTTAATAATATATATATATAAAAAAATCTGAATAAAAAATGAGTAATGCAATCAGTGTCCTTAATATTTTATTATACAACAACTGTTTATATTATATTATATTATATTATATTATATTATATTATATTATATTATATTATATAAACTAATAAAACAATAATAAAATATGATAGTGCTATATAATAATAATGTATTAATATTATAACATCTTAAAAAAAAGAGTAAAATTAAAATAAAATGAGTGTAATTTTTGGTTATGCTTATTGGGCCAAATTTCAGTGCATAAGATTTCTTCAGCTCTCAGAGGCTGTAGTGGTTCATGATATATGCTGCAAATGTCTCAGCTTGATTCATTGAGCTCACGGCTCACATATTCATTTTCTCTGAGATGAAGCTGCTGAAGTGTGCCAGTGCACCGGCCACTCGGCACAGATCACTGTGTATTGACTGTTCAAACAGCTGAGGTGCTCGAGGTCACTTACTTTAGCACTCTCTTTTCAGCCGCTGGACAGACCGCACACACATACTGAGTTTGCACTGGCCTGCAGAGTATATATACACTCTTACTGTGTGCATGTGTGTGAGTGTGTGAGAGTATTGAATGGGACCTGTAAAGGTGTATTAGTGGGCTTACGGACCAGAGTAAGTATGAGGGATCTCCTCTTGTCGTAATATTCCCCATGACACTGACCTTTTGAACAAACAAAAGTGCTACTTTAAGTGTTACTTGGAAATGTTCCCTGCTGCTTTTATGAGGGGAAACAAAGCATGTTTCTGGAAAGCAAATTTTGTAACGCTCTAGACTTTTTACCCTCTTCCAGCATGTTCTTGGATCAATGAGAAATATGTGCTCACATCTTCCCATATTTATACATGTTTAATTTTAGTCTTCTGAGGTATAGAAAATCAAAGAAGAGAAAATCATCAAGATTGGATTCAAGTGGAACATGAGGCTCGTTTGTGTTTCTGATGATGACAAACCTTTTCAAACTGGCCAGGGCCATTTTTTTTCATTCAGTGAAAGCGTGAAGCTTTTTCCTTGTTTGGAATATCACAACATGTGCTTGTTTTATTTATCTCCATCTTTTGTTTTTTTCTCTCTTCTTGTCATCTCTGAAGAGAAACATATGCAAGCCTATAAAAAGAGATTTTTACACTTTAAAGGGGGGGGGGGATTTTGCCCCACAATGCTATCGCACTTTAAAATGGTATGCCATATCTTTGCTATATTGCTGTTAAGGTGTTCTGAGTGGTTACAGAGCCCTTAAAAACTTATCTTTTGTTGACAACAAGTTGAAAGCATTTCGCATGACAAGTTTGGGAAGATGGTTGGCACATATTGTGCTACCAAATATAAGTCACCAGAAGAGATGAGTTTGTGCGAAGCAGCATTTAATGCAAACCAAGCCATTCTGAGACACTGACGGCGAGAGCGCAGAAGAGGAGACAGAAGACAGCGTCATGTCCCCCATTGCGGTGGGGCCCACGTCCCCTCAGCTCTGCAATGACGACTTCACTCCTAAAGAGGGCTCACCCTACGAGGTGCCCGTCTACATTCCCGACGATATTCCCATCCCTGCCGACCTGGAGCTCCGCGAGTCGTCCGTTCCAGGGGCTGGCCTAGGAATCTGGGCCAAAGTCAAAATTCACATGGGAGAACGCTTCGGACCATACAACGGACTGCAGAGCGTCACGGTGAAAGAGACCACTTATGGATGGGAGGTACGTGGAGATGAGATGGCATGCATTTTAAATGTTGATTTTTATTAGCTTTATCCGGAAGTTTGAAATTCAATTTGAATTTGAGAGAACTCCATTTAGGCCCCATCCCAAATGGCTGACTTGAAGTGGCCATGCAGTCTCGTGGTCTTTCAAGTATGTCCATGCTGGTTTGGCTGACTTCTAAGTGCTCTAGGACCCAAGAAAATTGTGTCCAAGCAACATTACTTCACCAAAGTGTGGGTTCGTAGGAGGTCTGCAAGGGTCAAGTGCGCCATTTGAGACAGAACCTTAGTTTAGACTCTGAAGATGAACAGGGACTTCAAAGATTCAAGGGCCAATTTGAGTGGTGCGTGTGGGTAAGTCAATCCTGCGGTGACTAGCTCATGGCCTGTGGGAAAGACATGAGCACATTATGGGGTAAAGATGTTCATTCCATGTCTCTGTTTTTTTTTTTTTTTTTCTCCCTCTTTTCTTTTCTTTTCTTTTCTTTTCCATCCATCCCTGAATTTCATTTAATGGTAATTTTCAAAACCCTGATTACTGAAGATATCAGCTTTTCTCCTCTGTCTACCTCTATTAGAATACACTCATTTGGTCACGCCACATGATACGGGTTATGGGAGACGCGTGGCATTTGCGTGGAGCCATATTGAACTATTAATTTTCATTTCAACATGACATCGGAGGATATTGAAGTTGCTTCGGTAAGCTCATTAGGGCACATGCTGATTCCCCCCACATGACTGATCAGACGTGAGCTGTTCTCTCCCTCTCTCTCTCTCTCTCTCTCTCTCTCTTTCTCCTCTCTCTCGCTGTACTCGACTCCACTGATATATACCATTACACTCATTTAGAATTACATATGAACAGGGGGCAACCAGAAATGTTGTCCTGGGCCCTGTGATGGAGGGGGCCCACTGAGGTCCTACTCACTGGGCCTGAGTGAGAGGAGGGCCACCCATAAGAATTTATTTCTGAAACATTTTGAAACGTTGTATGCTTTCAGCAAGCAATACAAGTCCAGTATTGTTAGACTTTACCATTTTTAAATGCATTAAAAAAATTCATATGAATAAAATCAATGCAGAAAAAGTCAAAAATCAAAAAAAGAATCAAATCAATGCAGCATGTACGATTGTATCCCATTGTGCAATGGATTTGACTTTTTATTTTCATTGCAATGAATGAACTGGTAAGTGATATAAATTTTTAAGATTTTTAACATCACTTTTTTGATAACCCTGCAAAAAGATAAGGATAAAAAAACAAAAACATTCCTCTGAGATAATAACTGGACAGCACTCGCTGAATTAAACATACATAATAGCATATACTGCATACTTGTTCACATATTTTTTTTAATTACTTGGCAGTATGCAGTATACTAGCAATACAAAAATAGCCACTGAAACATGCAATAATCTGTGCAAAGCCATCAGCTACACATCATGCTTTCAGGAGGCTTTTTTCTTCCCTCAAGAAATTCATATTTCTGCTTTCAACATGCCTAGTTTTATTCCCTAGAAAAGGCATTTTAGCTGTCTTGCTGCCTTGGGTTGGATTCGCCACTAATGATGCTCATCAGAATCCGATCTCAAGAGAAAGGTTCTCTCTCTCTTTCTGTCTGTTCTGTCTGCCTGACACAACGCTCAGATTTCAGCCCTGATTTACACACTCAAGTACTTTGGCTTTATGTTTTATAAAGAGCACACTCAAGGCCCTGGTTGACAGCGTAACGATTGACAAGGAGCACATCTATGGGTACTTGCTCGTACACACACACTTGCTAAAGACCAGAGAGACATCTGTTGGACCATCTGTGACAAACCATCTATAAAAATTATACTTGTTAGCAGCTGCCGGAAAGCGGATGACAGTGGGTCGCCTTAATTTTAGGATTTTCTATTTAATTGCATTATTTCTTTTTTATATTCAAGTGCATTTTAAACGTCATTTTTATGCAGACAACTATAAGTTGGCAAAAAAATTTTACTGTGGCAGTTTTAAAACATTGTTCTGATTGTTTGAGAATCCTCACACGGCAACAACCAATGGCGTGACTTTGGGGTGGGGCTATCTGTTTGTCCAGCCAATCACAAGCAGGGGGAGTGTTTGGGAAACACTTTTGCATTTCTGTTTGTTGCTGCTAACTGTGCAGAAACCACACACTTCACCTTTAAGGGCTGTCATGTGGCAATTGTATTGCCCAGGTCTGCAATTTTACGTCTTAGGGCATTCGATTTTTTACTCAAAAGAAAAAGAAAAACAATCAATCCCTATGGCTCAGAAACCTCAAGCTCATAAAACATCTGCTACAAAATGTGGAAAAAATAAACAAACACATCTAAGCCACATCCTGTCTGCCCCGTTCGCCATGGTTTTAGGGTTCTGTGCTCTTATTAGGGATAGTCATAACAGTCAGACATACGCTCCCTGCGGAGCTGGGCTACGTCACCACTCCGCCCCGACCCTTAGACAAATAGACAGAAGAGAGAGAGCAGATCAGCTAAGAGCAAAGAAAGTCAGAGGTGTTAATAGAGCGGGATTACGGAGTGGCCACAATGGGCCAAACACAGACAGATATCCACCGAGTGTTTGGATGACGGATCATATGCGCTCAGAACTGCAATACATGCATATGTCATATACCGATGTCATGCTCTGGGTTTCCATCTGTGGTTCAATCATGACTTTTCCATATTTTAGGCTGCAAAGGATCAAAATATGCACACACAAGACCTTGGATGCCTGAATTCGTAGCTTTATGGTTGATTGCAGGCTTCATTGTAGTTCTATTCCAAAAATCTGAGCTGCCTTGTTTGTGACTGATTTGAAACGCCCTACACAGGCAGCAACCACACACACCACACGAATACAGCTCATCATGTGAGAGTTTAGCATTAGCATTTTTCTAAGTTAACATACTGCTAAGTCAGCAACAAAATAACTCGGAAGAATAACTGTATATAACACACATATATTAGGTTAATGTATTTATTTATTTTTAATCTTATTGATTTTTTTATCCTAGCCAGTGTTTGTTCTGTTTTGGGGGGGTTTGGTTATTTATGCATATGAAGAGTTCCGATGCAAATGCCTCTACGTGCCGTTTGATATTTTCTAAAATGAGCAGTTTTATCAGGCTCATATGTGTAGGCTCAGTAATTTCATTTTAATGGCAATTAATAGGTTATTTTCATTGCCATTAAAGTAAAATAACTGAACATAAACATAGGAGCCTGAGAAGAAAATTTCAAACTGCACTTAGAGGTTTATATATATATATATTACTAGAGGGGACAGAGTGAACACAGGACATGTGTGTGTGTTTCTGAATTATCCATCTTCCCTGAGACAATTACTGACAGGGAATGTCAACAAGTGGAAGGAAGGAAGGAAGGAAAGAAAGAAAGAAAGAAAGAAAGAAAGAAAGAAAGAAAAAGAAAGAATGATGGAAAGGAAGGAAGGACAGGGAGGGAGGGAGGGAGAAAGAAGGAAATAAAGAAAGAAAGAATGATGGAAAGGAAGGAAGAAAGAAAGAAAGAATGATGGAAAGGAAGGAAGGAGAGGGAGGGAGGGAGAGAGAGAGAGAGAGAAAGAAAGAAAGAATGATGGAAAGGAGGGAGGGAGGGAGGGAGAGAGAGAGAGAGAGACAGAAAGATGGAAAGAAAGAAAGAAAGATGGAAAGGAAGGAAGGAGAGGGAGGGAGGGAGGGAGAGAGAGAGAGAGAGAGAGACAGAAAGAAAGAAAGAAAGAATGATGGAAAGGAAGGCATGAGAGGGAAGGAGGGAGGGAGAGAGAGGAGAGAGAGAAAGAAAGAAAGAAAGAACGAAAGAAAGAAAGAAATTAGAAATGACAATGAGTTTTAATGTGAAGTAGAAATATATTTAACCGATTTTTAAATGGATAGTTCAACCCCCCTCCCCTCCCCAAAGAGAAATGTCTTCATTTATTTATCCATATGTCATTCCAAACTGTACTTTTTTAAGTTGTGAAACCAATGTTATATTAGTAATATTTATATAGAATTAATATTTTGAATCAACTTTTATTTTTATATATATAAATATATATTTTTTTTTATTTAATTTAATTTTAATGTAAGTTTTAATCATTTTATTATGTGTTTTTGTAATTTCTTATTTTTGCAGTATTTCTATTAAATTAAATTAAATGTTTTTTTTTTCTATTTAATCTATTTTTATTTCAGTTTTAGTAGTGTTAGTACTCAAACTTATTTCATTTCAGTTAGTTGCAACATTTCTCATTTTCGTTTGCGTTTTATGTTGAAGTTGTTCATCTATTTATTATTTTATTTAATTTTATTTAGCAAAAACATTTATTTTGTATTTATTATTTCTTCTTAATATAATAGTTTCATTTGTATTTAATAAAACTGTGCGGAACACAAACAGAAAAATGCATAAACATGATTTGATATCAGTAATATAAAACAGAATTTGTTCTAATGGCTCACCTGACATAAAATGTCTTGCAGTGTCATATTTGAATGCTCACAGAAATTAAATACTAGTTTGAATATAATTCAAATATTTTGTTGGACTTCCACCAGGGCAGTGATACATAATTATGGTAAACACACTTCTGGCATTTCTTGCCATAATGATTGGTATTTAAATTGTATTAATTGGCTTTAACTTTCTGAACAGTCTTTTGTGTCAGTCTTCCTCTGTTGATATTTCCGTGTAAATAAAATGTGCAGTCGCAGTATTTTTAGCTTTGAATGGTTTATGTGGGTGGTGACACTGATAGAACTTTATTTCAACAGCAAACTTATAAGGAGACTCTTTATTCAAGCGTGAAACAAAAGAATCAATGTATGAGGGACTCAGAGAAGGAAAAAGCTTGCGATGGCATTTCTTCAAAAGCCAGATAAATGATGTGTACACATGCCGTGCCCTGCCGGTGTCAGCGGGTGTGGTGCAGTCCCTGTTAAACCCAGTTTGACCTCACTGATGTTCTTTACTGTCATTAAGGTT